AAATCAGGAGTGTTTATTATCATTTCTTAATTTGTACTGACTTATGTTGGAGTCCACCTATCTTTTTATTTCCATTAACTTCTTTTGACTAAAATTCTGGATCTTTTGTTTGCTTTGAATACTAGTGTTATGAATATTTGCTGACATTTCAAGAACCATTTATATTTTGCTCACTTATGAACCACTAAATTGCATAAATGCGACATAGAACTCCCTTAAAAGAAACATAAATTTTCTCATTTTTTCTTATGTTATCCAATAACAATAATAGCTTTTATCCTCTTAAATATAATTATTCTTAAATATTTTTTGTATCATTAAGTGGTTTTCTCAAAAATTATTATACATCTAAATATATCTCTGCTATTAAATCTATATCATTTATATATTTGTTCCATCTGTACTACAATAAATGAAGATAGATCAGATAAGGTGAACTTGAATACAATGCTTTAAAGAGAACTCATTGAAATGGCATTAATCCAGACAGATAAGAGTATGGTGGAGAAATGTGGGCAAGGAATGAGAAGTTCATTTAAATGAACTAATAAAAGAAACCACCCTTCTAAATATATACCTATATACATATCAATAGGCAGCTCCTTGAAACAGTTAAACTATAATTTTAACAATTATATGGCAATACATTTTTAGTAACAATTCTAATAAGCATTTGAAATTGTAGTATTGAAAGCATTAGAAACTCCAACAGATTTATGTGTAAGATAGAAAATAATATTAATTACATGAAGAGAATATTTAAGCATGCCCTCTAGCATTCTTCAAAGATCTGAGAACATCAAAGAAAAGTAGTCAAACCCTTGATAATTTTTCTTTACAAGTGAGATCAGAACTACTTTTAATAGATTTAAATAAATAGATAGATATTTATATAGGAGGATAACATTTTGATAGTAAGCACATATAAACAATTTTAGAAGATGGTCTTTTCTGAAGTTGTGAAGGAAAGTATCTTTGGAGATGTTCTACAATTTAAAATAGCATCAGGGATTAATGTTAACAAATTCATCTCCAATTTTAAGAGTAAACATGATCCTTGAAATTGGTTTAAAATGAAATACTTTAGAAATAAATATACAGGTACATTTTCAGAAATTCTAGGAGAACATCAGGAATTGCTTTGAAATCCTGAATTTCAATGGTAGAGAATTGTGGGAATAAACTTTGGCCTGAGCTTGAGCAATGATTAATATAATGCTTTATACATACATGCCTGTTTAAAGGTCACTAAGGTAATGCAAAGAAAAGAGAACAATAAGGACAAATACAAACAAGGAGACAGCTTAAACAATTGCAAGCAAACCTTTACTATATCTAATTATTAAGCCATAATGTAATTATGCTGACTATGTAGAAAAATCTCAATAAAAAGAAGCACTAGAATTTATTCTGGGCTTCCATCCCGAGAACACCAGCCTGTGTCTCATTCTTTCCATGGAAGACCACCACAAGTGGTGAGCCTGACGTGATCACTGCAGGTGGTACGTGTCCGGACCTCTGTGTTTCCTCGCCTGGAATAGGTAAAGTACGTACTTAACTATTGCTGGACAATAGGATTTTTTCAGGAAGCATGGGGGGAAAACTCTCTCAGCCACAGGAACGGCATGTTAGTGAGCTGCTGAGGTTAGTCAGGACAAGCTCCTTTTTCTTTAAACCCTCTGGGGGGGAGCAAATAGTTCTTTCAAAAGATAAAGTGAAAGAGCTGCTGCAAGAGATCTGGCGGCAGTGTCCCTACTATCCAGAGAAGGGATCTTTAAAGTTAGACACATGGAGGAGAATTGGAACTATCCTTCATGAAGAGCCACGGGCAACAGCTAAAATTTTGATATATTGGAAGGTTGTTATGACTGCTTTAGAAATCCAGCAACAGCCTCTTTTAAAATCTTTAGTTGAACCTCCTCCTTATGAAGGAGTTGTGTTGCACCCCCCAATTTCAAAATTGGAATATGCCTCCTCAACCCCAACAGCGTTTACGCCTGTAGAGGATAAAATCCAATCACAAACCGGGAAAGTTCAAGCAATGATGCATCAGGCTTTCAATGAAGGGAAATTAGAGCCTGATGAGATTACCCAGATGAATTTGTTTCCAGTAAACAGACAAATAAATGCTCAAGGCAATATGGAAATTGAATGGATTCCGATTCCTTTAGCTGTTCTTAGAGAAATTAAAAAAGCAGTTAAAGATTATGGTATTCAAAGTCCTTTTACAAAGGGGCTTCTGACAAGTTTGGCTACATCACGTATGATTCCTAGTGACTGGAAAGATTTAATGAGAATGATATTGAGTTCTACTCAGTATGTGGTCTTTGACTCAGAATACCAAAGAGAAGCTATCACTAGGGGAAGGAATTCAGGGGGGCTGTATACGCCAGACCAAATCTATGGGGCAGGCTTGTTTGAATCCACTGCTGATCAAGCTGCTAATTTGCCTGATCATGTATTTCCAGTGGTTATGGCAGCTGTCCTTGGGGCATTGTCCCGCATCCAGGATGTGGGAACCCCAGCACAGTCTTTTTCTCAAATTAAGCAAACAGCATCTGAGTCTTATAATGATTTTGTGGAAAGGCTGCAATTGGCTATTACCAGACAAATCTCTAATGAAGAAGCAGCAAAGGAACTTTTGCTGAAATTGGCAGTTGAAAATGCAAACGCTGACTGCAAGCGTATTTTACAGCCTTTGGTGGCTAGAGGTGAGATTACTCTGGCTGATCTGTTAAAGGCATGTGCAGTGGTGGGTTCTCAGGCTTACAACATGGAGGCTTTGGCTATGGCATTACAAAAAGGGATGAAACCTACAGGGAATTGTTTTAATTGTGGGAAACCTGGCCATTTTAAAGCTCAGGCCAAAGTTTATTCCCACAGAGAATCAGAAGCATTATGGAATGAACTTAACCTGGAGTAAAGAATGGCAAGTGCTTTAAATCTGTATTTTGATGAGTTCCCCTGTATCAAGTTTTATTGGATTTCTGAAAAGTTTTGCAAAATTGTAGATCTTATGATTATCAAATAGCTTTGAGGTGAACATATTTCTTACTAGGAAATTCATAAATAGTGCGATAAAAAGGAATTAAGGTTTGAAGAGGACAACAAATGAAACAACCTTAGCTTTCATTCATCCACTTGAAACTTTTGTTTAGTTTTATAGATGAAAAACTCCTGGTGCAAAGGCCCTGTTTCATCCTTCCTTCCAAGGAAGACAGATAGGGTAAATAAAATCAAGAATGATGCTATTGTTCTATGAGATATACCTAAGGCTAATTTTAAAATCATACAAAGATTCTAAATTATACACAAGAGATAGATCTTCATTAATTAACTTCATTAATTAATGTGGATAGCATGATTTTAATTACTTTATTGGCTCTGTGGTTGCAGAAGGTAATCAACACTCTCAATCAAGGCTTATAAAAAAATCAACAAGTATGAGATGCAAAACCCAAGGCAAATAATCAAGGACCATTATAGTGTTTATTTGGCAATATGTACTAGAGGGGATCTACCAAAAGAATAGTGAATGACACTCCTGCAAACAAAATGATGCCTTGATATGTATATATTTCAAAAAGGAAAGAAAATGATACAGGCATACATATGCAGCAGAGGTGGTATTCAGCAGGTTCTGACCAGTTCACGAGAACCGGTAGTGGAAATTTTGAGTAGTTTGGAGAACCGGCAAATCCCACCTCTGACTGGAGATTTTACAGTATCCTTCCCCTGCCACACCCAGCAAGCCATGCCCACAGAATCGGTAATTCATCTGCTTAAAAATGTTTATGTAAATAGTATTGATAAAAATCTGATTAATAAGAAATATATTTGGTCTGTACTGGACTCCCCAAAGGATGTCCTGTAGAAGATGAAGATCTGATTTTTATTGATTGGAGATGTTCAAAAATTCTGGTTTAATTTACTCCTAAGATACGATCCTGTGAATCTTTGACACTTTGGGTGGTGGGGGACTTGTATTTTAAGATACATAGTGGTAAGTAGTTTTATGGGGAAATTGCTAAATGTGAAAGATATCAATGTGATCGTCAATTATATACCAACGTTCTAAAATAACTGTCCATGAAGAAATATGGATGTACCAGACATTGTGGTGGCTAAAAGGAAATTACTGAGAAATTGGAAACGTGATATTATTCCAGATAGTCTGCCTTTGGAAACATGTAACTTATCTATTTCATACTAATCAAAAGATGAAACGATATGCCCTTCTTGGCCTAGATTTTAAGATATTTTACAATATTTTTCATTGGGTTATAATATCATATTATACATTAAGGAAGGGGGGTTGTTTTATTTCCTTTCTTCCTTTTCTTATTTCTTATTATGGATTATTTTGTTTAGCTTGATTCTTTTTGTTGTATATTTTTTATTATTGTATATTGTTTTTTGTGCTTTATAAAAATTTAGAATAATATTTAAGACAAATAAAGAACAATGCTACCTAACTGATACTATTGACATGAACAAAATGACAAAAACACTGAAGTACTTCTATGCAAATTAGGTGCTATTGAAATATTATGAAACCAGTGATTTTAAAACACAATATCTACCTAAGAAAGAATGGATTTAATAAAGTACATCTATTGGTTAAAGTCCCTGCTTCCAGGTGTGATATGTTAATCTGTAACAAATACCAACAATGTGGAGTTGCCAATGCTTTTAAAAAGAAACTGACCTCCTAAGATGCTCTCATCAGCAAAATAAGATTCCCAGTTATCTGGAAGTGAGCCCACCCACTAAATTCAATGAGACTTCATTCAGAGCAGTCATATTTAGAATTGTGCTAAATTGATGTTTAGGATATCCTCAAATTCGTGTGGTGTCCAAGAAATAAGAGCCCATAAGCACACCAAACCGTACTTTTTAAAGACTAATCAATTAATGAAATAAAATAAACATGTTTTTTTCCCCCCAGACAAGATCACCGAGATCATGTTCATGATCTCCCACCCACCCATATCACCTACCTCCCAGTGATGAACTGACTTCTGGACGGGGTGCACATCGGTTGGACATAGTAATTCTCTAGCTTAACTCCTTCCGCGGCTAGTTTATCCAGGGTAGGAGTCCGGATCTCTGAGCCGTGATAACCGACGTCTCTGAAGCCCTGGTCGTCCGCCAGAATGAAGATGAGGTGCGGCTGGAAAGTGGGGGGAGGTGGCGTCTCGGAGCCTTCTTCCAACTTGGCCGTCCCGTTGGGTTCCTCGGGGTCTTCTGCCGTCGGCCCAGCTAGGTAGCCTTGAGCAAGGAGGCTGAGCACGGAGAAACCGGCCAGCAACCCCCCGGCTCGCATTTTCCCTCAGCAGAGCCGGGTTCGGGTCCCTCCCGCGTCCCTTTCCTGAGGCGGAAAGAGAAACCAGGAGTCAAGAAAACTTCTCCAGGGGGAAGGGTTGGAGGGAGGGCGAGCCCATGGCAAACGTCGCCCGGCCAAGACTCCGGAGTGTCCAGGGTGGGACGGCAGAGGAGCAGTCGAGGGGGTCCCGTCGATCTCAAACCGTCGCCGGCGCGTCCTGCTTCATCCTAAGCTGAAGCACCCACCTAGGAGCTGCCAGCTGAAGGCAAACTGGAAGCCCGATTTATGCCACTGTCCCACCGCTGGCGGGACAGACGCGCGCGGGGGGGGGGGACGGGACGACTCGCGCGCGCACCCAAATGGCTCCCGGGAAGGAGCTCTGACTTCTCTCTGAGGAGAGGAGAGGAGCGAGCCGCCAGGTCTTCGCCCTTCTCTCTCTCTCTTGCCGCCGTCGGCGGTGAATCACTCCCGCTTCGGTTCCTTTCCCTCTCCGCCCGCCTCCCTTGCTCTACCCCCCACCCCCTCTGCCTTGGCGAGAAAAGGCCAACCAAACGCCCGCCTCCCGGCCTCGGTCCAGGAACGCGCACGCCCTCCGTTGCCGGCTGGAAGTGACCAGGAGCAAAACTGCTGGCTTAGCAAACGCTCTTGGGAGGACTTTGCAAATTTAGTAGCGCCGGGACTAATCAAAACTATATTAAAACAAGAACAACAACAACAGCCAAATATACAACTCAAACGGATAAAACTAGAATCAAATAAAGCATTAACGTGGTGTGTCTCGTTTTTCTGCAAAGAAGAAAGTGTAAGGGCTTGGGGGAATTCTTGAAGGAAGGTATTACAGGTAGTCCTCGACTTACAAACAGTTCATTTAGTGACCGTTTAAAGTTACAAGGGCACTGAAAATAGTTACATGTGACCATGTTGCATACTTATGACTGTTGCTGCATCCCCTTCAGAGGTGGTATTCAGCAGGTTTTGACAAGTCCTGGAGAACCGGTAGTGGAAATTTTGAGTAGTTCAGAGAACCGGCAAATCCCGCCTCTGATTGGCCCCGCCCCCATCCATTCTCTGCCTCCTGAGTCCCAGCTGACTGGCTGGGTCTTCTTTGGTTGCCCTGCACAGGAGAACGGAGCTGGAAAGCAGGTTAGAGGGATGGGGAAGGAGTGGGATTTTACAGTAACCTTCCCCCAGGAATAGGGAGGGAATGAAGATTTTGCAGTATATTCTTCCCCCGCCATGCCTACCAAGTCAAGCCACACCCACCAAGCCACGCCCACAGAACTGGTCGTAAAAAAAATTGAATCCCACCACTGATCCCCTTGGTCACGTGGTCAATGTTCAGATGCTTGGCAACTGACTCATAGTTATGACAGTTGCAGTGTCCCAAGGTCATGTGATCTTCTGACCAGCCGAGTCAATGGAAAAGCCAGATTCCCTTAACAACTGTGTTACAAACTTAACAACTGTGGCAAGAAAGGTCATAAAATGTGGCAAAACTCACATAAATGTTTCACTTAGCAACATAAATTTTGGGCTCAATTGTGGTCGTAAGTCAAGGAATATCTGCGTACATATCTGGGGGGAGGAATTATGCGGGGTTGTTGTTGCCTATTTTTCTGTTGCTCAGGGTTTTTTCCAAGTATAAGAATCTTCTCTAGCATCCTTCGCTTTCTTCTTACGTATTCAGATTATTCAAGCTTCAACAGGCCAGTGAGCAGACCAATGTAACATTATCAAGTACTGAATCACATTTTCATTTTATGGCCCAAGGAATTGACAAGACTTTCTCCTTCACAAATTCACAGGCAAAAAATTCCTGGTCTCTTGTCTTTTTTATGGTCTAACTCTAGCCTTCCATTGCCTCATCCATACTTCCTAAAAAGGAGAGAGGTCACATATGTGTCAGATGCTCCTTGGATCCTATGTGTCATGTTCTTCCCTACTGGTTCCAAAGGGGTGCTAAGCACTATATGGCAGAATTCGTATGACATTTCAAAAGCTAAACATAAAGCAAACATTGCTTTAATAATGTGCCAGCTAGAAGCAAAAGAGATAAATTGGAAATCTGAGTGGCCTCTTAATATAATCCCAGGGTCAGGAAAATAATATTGTAATGCTACCTAATGAAACAATTGTTAGATAGAAACAGAACTATTTGTGCAGCTGTCATCTGGCCAACATTCTAAACTAATTTGTCTAGGATTTGTATTTTTGCATCTTGTGTGAACTTAGATACTGTAATGTGTTTAGTTTGTGGGGCAATCTGCTGTAGAACTCCAGGGAGATGGATAAGCAATGTTAAAAATAACAAAGTTTAAAACGATGTGTGGATGCAGCCAATATCTGTAAAAGTCTCAACTCCGAAGGAAACTGTTTGGAAGAAGCTTTTTGGCAAGTATCATTTATAGTGGAGGGGTGAGAATAGTTACATCTGTTGCAATTTTTCCTTTGGCTCAGCAGCAAATTGTGCAAGAGTTCTATCCTTTGCATTTGTCTTTCCTGTAGTAGGAATGTTAGAAAACCAAATGTGCATTGAAAAAATTATTGCGATTAATCATTTGTTTGTTAGATTTATGTTTAATCTTTTATTCAGGAATTGAAGACAGCATCAGCTTAAAAAAAATAATAAATGTATTGTCCATATACCCCAGAGTAGTTGATCAGTTGCACGTAGAAATGTCTTGAGAGACAAATGTGTGTAAAAAAGAGTTAGATGGTGGTGGAGAACAAAACTGAGCATGGTAAAGAAGAAAAGAAAAAAGAAATGGGAAATTTTTGAAATTGTGACTATAAATCACAATTTTGGGAATGATATTACTAGTTTTCCTCTTGAACTGATTGGGATAACCACCAACATACTTTCATCCTTCTTTTCTTAGACTTGCAAGAGGTTTTACAATATTTTTCATGCTTGTTACTTTAATTTTTTCATGTATGTACTGCTGGCACTTGGACATATGTCTCTAATTTTGAAAGACATGTTCATTATTCCTATTTTCCCTTACTGTTTCCCATTTCCAAACATTCCAGCTAGAAGTTGATTTCACTACAAAAATACTGTTTTCAATGCTTCAGATATCAAAAATGTGAATACAAAGGATTTATTTTCAACTATATTGCCACTATTGTAGTGCCATATAAGAATATGCCTACAAAACATAACTTTAAAATAATACCAACTGGATTTCATTTTAATGAATGCATACAACAATTTTTGCATTTTGATATTATTATCCTCAACCTGTATGACATTTGCCTGAATTCCTTGCATTGTCAACTGTCAGACTGTGCTCCTTCTAAATCCCAAGAAAGAAATACTCAGACT